TCTCTCTCTCTCTCTCTCTCTCTCTCTCTCTGTATGTGTGTGTTTTGTTGGGTTCTTTTTGTCTTTGTGGAAGGTGTTTTTGTGACATGTGGTAAGGTGTGTGGTATAAACATCACTAACTTGAGAGCTTTTTCTCTTTAGAGATATCTTTGTGGGTTACAGGCAGTAGGGTGCGTGGTGTGACATAAATAGAACTGTCTTGTGTTTCTTTATCTTTGTACAATGTATTGATAAAGCCTTTTCTGTGTGTTTCGCTATTTTCTGGAAGGTGTTTCAGCTTTTTCTGTATGTTTTTTTATCGTTGTGGAAGGCATTTGGTGATAGGTTGCAACACTAACATGCGAGAGGTCTCTTTGCGTTAAAAAAAATCTTTGTGTGGAAGGTATTTGAGAAATTTCTGTATGTGTGTGTTTTTTTTTGTCTTTGAGGAAGGTTCTTGGGTGACAAATAGTAATGTGTGAGGTACAAACAACACTAGCCTGTGACATTTCTCTTTGTGTTTCTGTATCTTTGTGGAAGGTGATAGGGTAACAGGTAACAAGGTGTTTGGTATAAATAGAATAGCAGTCTTTCCGTTTTTTTTGTAAACATATACTTTTTCAAGGCTGACTGCATCATCATCATCATCATCATCATCATCATCATCATCATCATCATCATCATCATCATCATCATGACCACGACCACTATACCATCACCACCACCCCCACCACCACCACCACCACCACCACCACCAACAACAACAACAACAACAACAATAGCAATGGTTTAATGACCTGCACAGCACGACAAAGGAACACATGAGGCAAATTCCTCAGCACAACAACAACAATAACAACAACAACAACAACAACAACAACAACAACAACAACAAAAACAACAACATAAATACTGACCTGCACAGCCTGAGCAAGGAACACACAGCTGAGATAGAAAAGACACAGGAGCTCTGGTAGATTCCTCACCACCACCACCACCATCAAAAGCTGCATCATCACAACCACCACAACCACCACAACCACCACAACCATCATCAACAGAAGCACCATCACAACCACCACAACCACAACCACCATCACCAGCGTCACCATCAGCAGCAGCAGCAGCACCAACACCACCACAACCACAACTCAACCACCACCACCACCACAACAACAACAACAACAACAAGAACATAAATACTGACCTGCACAGCCCGAACAAGGAGCACACAGCTGAGGTAGAGAAGACACAGAAGCTCTGGTAGATTCCTCACCACCACCACTACCCGAGTCCTCTGTGGGGGAAATCAGGGAGGTGAGGTGAGATGAGGTGAGGTGAGGTGAGGTGAGGTGAGGTGAGGTGAGGTGAGGTGAGGTGAGGTGAGGTAAGGTAAGGTGAGGTGAGGAGAGGTGAGGTGAGGTGAGGTAAGGTGAAGTGAGGTGAGGTGAGGTGAGGTGAGGTGAGAAGAGTTGAGGTGAGATGCAATAAAACTAGACGATATGAGTGGAGGCGAGGTGAGATGAGGTGGGATGAGATGGGATGTTATCGATACAAATTAGATCATTTAGGAGGCAGGCTTCCAGCACGCCTGTCAGGGTCAACCCCGGCTAAGATGCAACAACTCAACAGAAAGATGGAGATACTAGATAAAAAGTTGTCTCTATTGTTTAAGGAATCGAACTCGGGCCACTTGGGTACGGCATCAAAGCGCCTGACACTACACCACAGACACCAGAAGGCAGCCAGAATCTGACTCAGATGCAACACTCTACTTCCATACAATATATTGGCAGTTCATTGCCTTCACTAACAAAAGAGGTTCTATTTAGTACTAGAGTTTGTGGCAGTGATGTCCCCCACACAAAGAGGTTCTATTTAGTACTAGAGTTCGTGGCAGTGATGTCCCGTACATAAACGAACGGGGGCTGCGTGTGCCCACTCTGATACTGAACCTCAAGGGCAAGACGTGCGCAGTTTAACAGACGGGTGAGTAGCCTACTTTTCAAGACTCACGTGGAGACGTCTCGGCGGTCGTAGGAGGAAATCTACAACTACAAGCTTGCACTGAAATATGGGGTCTGGGCGGTGTTATATAATATACTGTAACTCATGGGGAGCGGGATAGAGGCTCAGATTGTTAACGTACACGGGGAAACGCCGGCAATGCCGATGAGGGTAAGAAGATCCTCTTGTCTGACACCCCTTGTACCCACACACCTTGTCATAGTCACATTATAGAGTACCCATTTTGTCATAGTCACATTATAGAGTACCCACCTTGTCATAGTCACATTATAGAGTACCCACCATGCTCTAGTCACATTATAGAGTACCCACCCACCTTGTCATAGTCACATTATAGAATACCCACCCACCTTGTCATAGTCACACTGAGACATTCTGATCAGCTGAACTGCCGTGAGCATCCACGTATAGGCGGCGCCCAGGACGAACCCGTAGATAGAGCCAAGGGTGAGGCACAGGAACACGGGCAAGTACACGATACCGAAGATGAGCACAGATATGAGCAGGATGACGGCTGGGGGGAGATTGTTGAGACAGTAGATGAGCACAGATATTTTAAGCGGGATGAAATCTGGAGAAAACGTTTTTTGACAGTGGATGGATTAGTGGAGTGGCGTCTTTTTGTTGATGTTCTAACATGTTGTTCTTCTTGTTTGTTTGTTTTGTTTTGGGGTTTTTTAATGTTTTTTTTTTGGTGGTTTGCTTTGATGTTGTTGTTGCTTTTTGTTGTTGTTGTTTTGGTTTTGTGAGCGGGAGAGGGGTGCTACTGAAGATGATTTAGCGGTTTTCTTGAATATCGATAGGCGTAAATTCTATGTGACGGACGGTTTTTCAGTCAGTGGCTCGCAAAATCTGGGAATGTCGACATCCTCTTTGTATCGCCAAAAAGACAAAAGTAACTCTGGAAAGAAATACTGGGAGCAGACCACACCAGAGCACCCACCAGCCACCCGTTGGCTAGATGATATGAGAGGATAAAGATAGAATGAAACAAAACAGAATGGAAATAGATCTTTTAAAGCTACCAATCGGGGGAAACCAAATAGGATGAGTAACATACCATACTAGTAATAAGAATGTTGAGATGAAATACCATGCCATCCTGTTAATCAGAATGTTGATATAAAATACCATGCTATACTATTACCCAGAATGTTGATATAAAATACCTGGCTATACTATTACCCAGAATGTTGATATAAAATACCAGGCTATACTATTAATAAGAATGCGGATACAAATTAATTACCATACTAGGCTATGAATAGAATCGTGATTTAAAATACTATGCCATACTGTTAATAAAAATGGCAATATGAAATACCATACCCTACAATGGATAAGAATGGAGATATGAAAAAATAAAGAATATGAAGATGGTTTTAATAAGAAAGGTAAAAAGAAAGAAAATGCACTAAAGATTAGATTCTTTAAATAGTATCTACATCAGGTGCCGTGAGCTAGGATGAAGCAGCACAACGCGCTAAGAACAAAAATGATGACATCAGTGTAGGTAACATATACGTGGCATAGTAGAAGGTAGTCCAGTGCTCAACTTCGTTCTAATCACATTCACAGGGTTAAGTCCGGTTTGGTCTGAGTCCCACCCACTAACGACGCCAACAAGGTCCATCGGGTCTGTTTGCGCGGCTCTTGCGATGACGTCGGCCTCTCGGCGTCGCTCTAAGGTACAGTCTTGGAGGCCTCTTCGTTGAGCATCGCTCTAAGGTACAGTCTTGGAGGCCTCTTCGTTGAGCATCGCTCTAAGGTACAGTCTTGGAGGTCTCTTCGTTGAGCATCGCTCTAAGGTACAGTCTTTGAGGTCTCTTCGCTGAGCATCGCTCTAAGGTACAGTCTTTGAGCCCTCTTCGTTGAGCGTAGCCCCAGGGTACTCGATGAGATGTTCTTCTCTACAGGCATGATGTTGATTGCCTTGAGATAGGCGTTAGGCTGATTGCCATGAGCTATAGGCGTTATGTTGATTGCCTTGAGATAGGCGTTATGCTGATTGCCATGAGCTATAGGCGTTATGCTGATTGCCATGAGCTATAGGCGTTATGCTGATTGCCTTGAGCTATAGGCGTTATGTTGATTGCCTTGAGATAGGCGTTATGCTGATTGCCATGAGCTATAGGCGTTATGTTGATTGCCATGAGCTATGGGCGTTATGCTGACTGCTATGAGCTTTGTCTCTTTGGCGCTGATCTCCACGCCGTGTCTGACAGATTGCCACCTCAGAATTACAAAGTACCATCTGACATTTTTGGCTGTTTTGAGTTACTAAAACTATGAGATCAAAACTAAATGTCCCATCAGCTCCATCAAAATCGTAAGATTATTCTGAGTCGTTGTAAAAATATTCAAAGAATTGCATTCGAAAAAGCGTGAAAAGATGTGAAACTCAAATTTTTCATTTTTCTCAAAACTAGGTACTGAGCAAATAGAACTTTGTAATTCTAGGGTAGCGAGATGTCTATTCTTGGCGGTTCATGTACCAGACTGACAGGTTCTAGGTTCTTGTTCTTTTCTCACCACTTTGTCTTCAATATAGTGTCTTCAATGTCTTGTCTTCAATGTCCTGTCTTCAATGTCCTGTCTTCAATGTCCTGTCTTCAATGTCCTGTCTTCAAAGTCGTAAGAGAACTGAACCCACGATGTTGTCCCGGCTAACTTTCACTCGCCACTAACAGACAATAAATAAAAGAAATTCCCTGCTTTAAAATAACCAATCTGGTCTGAAAAGGATGTAACGTGGAAGAACTAAATCCAAGCACACTCACACTACATTTGTACTCACTATTCAAAACAAGCGGGCCGTCAAAATGAAATGCCCGGAAGTTGGAGAAGATGCCTGCTACTATCAAGTAGACTGTAGACCCGAAGGCGCATGCGTAAGAGATACGGTGGGATCTCCGAGTCAGGTCCATGGGGCTGGAGGCAGAAAGTATACACAGCGGCAATAGAAACTTTCCACTGGGAGAGACACCTATATTGTGCTCATTATTCGACATAAAAGAACAAAAATTGACACAGACATATTTCAAAGTATGTCAAGAAACCTTTCGTTTCTTGATCATGTCTCACATGGTGTCACAGTGTTAAGCACAAACTGGTACCCCTTGATTTCAACAATCCACGTAAGTGGAGGGCATTGTAGCCCCTTGCAATGATGCAAGCGTGACATGTTCTTGGCCTTGATCGAGTCTGTTTTTTTTCTTATTTTAATTAATTGTTATGGCAGTCCATTCCACTCTTGACTCAATGCGGGTCCCATTCGTTGAGACACAAACTGAAGTCAAAATTATATTTCTTTTTTTATAGTTTGATTTCAGTTTGTGTCTCAAACGTTTGCAAGTTCAACACAGATCCAGAATTGGCTGTGAGAACAAGAGCTTGTACATTTACGACAAAATCAACAGCAGCAACAACACCAATAACAACAACAGCAACAACAACAACAAAAACTAATAATCACTAGAGCAATAGCAACAACCACAACCAGGTCACCCTATAAGTACTGAAGATTAGAGGTGTTACAAGAGAGTACCGTACAAAGAAAGAGAGATAAGATAAGATAAGAAAATACTTTATTGTCCCAGAGTTATTCAAGTAAAAAACACCCGTCAAACAAATATGAAGTTACGAGTCCACAAGCTTTTAAAATAGGCACCCTCACAATTTCCAGTTTATGACTACCGTTGTTTTTCCCCTGTGCTCTTCACTTTCATTTAAAGAATTCTAATAGCTTATCTTTCACTGTCGATAGAGCTTGTAAACAAAATGACATACTATAATATCATTACATAGGTCGTTGATAAATCTTGTAAACACATACATGGTTGCTTTTAAGGACAAACGGGCTAGCCCAGATTTCGGGAGTTTCCAGAAATCTTGACCAGCACCAAAAGTGGGTGTTGCCCTACCTATAAGAACATTTTGGTTTCATTGGTGTGTATATGTGTTTGGTTGTAGAGAAAACTCCCCTTGTCTTTTGAAGGAACTGAACAAGGGTCCATAAACTTTGCCTTCAATTTTCTCAAAATAGCATTTTTCGGTATAGCCCCCTTGTGCTTAAAAACGACCACATATACGTACGTGATTGTATTATCTTTCAGAGTCGACAGAACCTGTAAACACATACTATATCATTACGTTGGTCGTGATTATATATCTTTCATTGTCGACAGAGTCTGTAGTGGCGTCGGTGGCCTAGTGGTTAGGCTACTGGACTCGTAATTGTGACATTGCGGGTTCGGGGGTTCGAGCCTCAGCTCAATCCGACGTTGTGACCTTGGGAAAGGGACTTAACTTCCCACTTGTCTCTGTCCTTTCGGAGGTGGACGTTAAACTCGGAGATCCCGCCTCTTAAATAATCTAACAGTGTTGATAGGGGGCGTTATACGCACACCATTTCACCATTTTTCAGAGTCTGTAAACACATACTATGATATCACTACTGAGGTCGTTATGTTTGAGGATTCACAATCCCAGACACACGCAACTCACTAGACCAGCCCGGGCCTTCCTTTCAGCACGTGCAGAACCAGATTGCGTCTTTTCTGAGTACAACACAGGATCAAAACAATGACAACCTGAAAGTAGAAAATACGCGAATGGTTTATTTTTGGTCAAAAAGGTTGAGGATTTTACTTTTAGACTTTCAAAACTTAGAGCGGAATGAGTGTGCCTGCAAACTGTAAAAGGTAAACAGCAATTCTTCGACAAGCTCAAAAAGTCAAGAAGTGTGGTCTCTAAAGACCGGCGTCAATGGCAAATGTTGTGGAAATGAGCAACGTATCCTTTAGAAAGATATAATTCTTTCTATATTGTGGCTATTGTTCAACTTTATAAAAACAACTGACACAGACATATTTCAAAGTATGTCAAGAAGTGTATTACCTGCCTTTTGTTTCTTGATCATGTTTCGTGTAGTGGCACAATGTTAAGCTCAAACCGGTACCCCTTGATTTCAAAATTTCACATCGGTAGCGGGCATTGTAGCCCTTTGCTATGCTGCGAGCTTGGCATGTTCTGTGCATTGATAGCGTCAGGTTTTTTTTTCTTATTTTAGTTAATTGTTGTGGCAGTCCATTCCACTCTTGCTTGTCTCAGTCGTTGTGTAATCTTACTGTCGTTTTAGGAGTTACCTCTTAGGCCCACTCAACTCAAGCGTAATTATTGGAAAGATGACAAACGTTGGTCATTACAGGGCCGCCTTGCTCGATGTCCGAATGTGTTTTAAGGCTGTTGATTCCTTCTTTCGCCGACAACTCTATCAGTGTTTTTATTAAATTAACGTGCAGAGCTGGTGGTTGGGAGAAAGGGATTTCAAAGATACCAGAGCAGTATTTGTCTGTCTTCTAGGGCGGTATCTGTCAGTTGTAAATCCAGTGACTTGGAATTTATCTTTCAGGATATTGATAGTAGAATGAGAGAAATGAAGTATCTGCGCCACTCTACTCGCCCATAGTACAGCTTGGAACTTAACCTTGGCATCTTGTTCAGCAATATAAGTCGACAAAAACTAGCTGGAAATTGTATGTAACTTTTTTTCCGGTTCTAAAATCGCTCATGTGTTGATCTAAACACAATTTAGATGGTTTCATAATTTCTGCGGAACTTAAGTCACAAAATATGTTAATTTTCATGTGGGTCACCTGATCACGTGGTTAAACTTTTGTTCAAGAAATGGATCATCGCGGAGTCCTCGTTGAGCACATGATGAGTGATGGGCAAAATTTCGCTAACTTACTCAAGCGAAATAGGGCGCAGTTACAAAAACAAAGTGGAAAGTTTCTATTGCCGCTGGGTATGTAAAAAAAACTGTCACAGAATGCCTGTTACAATATTAGATTTGCTGCAGATATAATAACTGGTATTTGTAGATATAATCCTAGAATGTATTTATAACATATAACTGTAGATATATTTATAGTAGGTATTAAGCGGGTATTTATAGAGATATTTATAGCAGGTATTTATAGAGATAATTATAGCAGGTATTTATAGAGATTAGCAGGTATGTATAGAGACATTTCAAGCAGCTATTTCTCTCAGCTCTTTATTTCTCCCACCAGTGTGTACTCACGGAGGGGATAAGGCAGAGCTGGTAAAACAACGTTTCCTCTATCAGCGGGTCGTTGCATGTCTCGGGTTCAACTTCGCTGGTGGGGCAGACAAATCAAGACAGCAAAATCAACAAAACGAATGGAAATGTTTCTTTCTTTCCGGTACTAACTTCTTCTCATTGATGGAAACTATCTTATCTCAGTTATCTCAGGATAGGGATCTTTTTTGTCCCCTCATACTTGGAACTACATCAGCACTCCCATCTCCCCTTTTGTGTTACGCTTTCTACAAATTCTTCATTTAGCACCCCCCCCCCTTTAGTTTTAGCCCATTTCAAACTACACCTACCCCCCTCCCCTCCCCAACCCTGCTCAATCCACATATGTAAACACACATTCCCTATCCCCCCACCCCCCACACACACTCACACGGAGAGAGACAGAGGGGGAGAGATAGAGAGACAGAGACAGAGACAGAGAGAGACAGAGACAGAGAGAGACAGAGACAGAGAGAGACAGAGACAGAGACAGAGAGAGACAGAGAGAGAGAGAGAGAGAGAGAGACAGACAGACAGACAGACAGACAGACAGACAGAGAGAGACAGAGACAGAGAGAGAGAGACAGAGACACAGAGAGAGAGAGAGAGAGAGAGAGAGAGAGAGAGAGAGAGAGAGAGAGAGAGAGAGAGAGAGAGAGAGAGAGAGAGAGAGAGGCTACGAGTATAAGTAGAGCACTAACGTTTTATTCTGTCCCTGAGGATCTCCTTTGATGAACTTGATCAGAATGTTGAGCGCATCCGCCGAATCCATGATGGTCCTGTCCTTATTGGATGTCTTGTCCTGTCCTTACTGGATGTCTTGTCCTGTCCTAACTGGATGTCTTGTCCTGTCCTAACTGAATGTCTTGTCCTAACTGGATGTCCTGTCCTAACTGGATGTCCTGTCCAAACTGGATGTCCTGTCCTAACTGGATGTCCTGTCCTAACTGGATGTCCTGTCCTAACTTTATGTCCTATCCTAACTGGATGTCCTGTCCTAACTGGATGTCCTGTCCTAACTGGATGTCTTGTCCTGTCCTAACTGGATGTCTTGTCCTGTCCTAAATGGATGTCTTGTCCTGTCCTTACTGGATGTCTTGTCCTAACTGGATGTCCTGTCCTAACTGGATGTCCTGTCCAAACTGGATGTCCTGTCCAAACTGGATGTCCTGCCCTAACTGGATGTCCTGTCCTAACTGGATGTCCTATCCTAACTGGATGTCCTGTCCTAACTGGATGTCCTGTCCTAACTGGATGTCCTCTCCTAACTGGATGTCTTGTCCTGTCCTTACTGGAAGTCTTGTCCTAACTGGATGTCCTGTCCTAACTGAATGTCCTGTCCTAACTGGATGTCCTGTCCTAACTGGATGTCCTGTCCTAACTGGATGTCTTGTCCTGTCCTAACTGGATGTCTTGTCTTAACTGGACGTCTTGTCCAGCCAGATTCCCCCTCGTCATCAACTTTTATCACCTGTTCAAATAAAAAAGACAGCGCGAGACAAGTTCAAGACAGTAGCCTTGGTATACCAGTGGTTAGGCTACAGGTCCCGTAATTGAGAGAGTTTTATTTCTGTATTTGGTTTTGTTTTTGCTTTTACTTTAATGGATGAGTTCGCATCGTTGCCTTGTGTGCACAAAAGATTACTGCGACTCTTTGCTTTACCAGATTAAGAACTGGGTTATTGTTCTTCGCGTTACAAGCAAAAGTGACGGAGGGTAATGAAGGGCTCATGGGCAGGGCTGCCAGTTTTTTTTTCTGGTGTGGGGCCAACAATATCACAATTTGGGGCCAAACTTGATTTTTGGGGGCCAAACCATACTTACCCCCCCCCCCCTCCAAAACTCGTCGGATTTCGGCCATCTTTGTGAATAAAATAAATAAATATTCAACCAAATTAGATCTAAATAACATTAGTAAATCAATAAGTATGATTGATTACGGTACGATACCTGACCCTTTTCAGTCATCAGTGCACGCTACTGTTCATCCTGTTACTGTCAGTGGTCATGCCTTGGTTCCTTCATGGGGACGACTCACTGAACAAAGCTAAATTAATGTTTGTGAACTGTCTAGACGCTAGAATCCTCTGCAAGATCCACAATGTAAACACGACTTTCTTGATCAGCCATTATTCCACGCAGCCGCTCTCTTCACTGCCAACCATTTGGGACTAATAAATGCTTTTTTTGTGTGTGGCAAAAATCTCGTTGCTTTTATTTTATTTCATTTGTTTTTTCTTTTGGGGGGGGGGGGGATCTAAAATGGGCCAAATTGGGGCCAACCGGGCCAACTATTTGGGGGGGGGGCAGTCATGATCCCAAAGAGCCAAATTTGAGCAATTTGGCCCCAAGGGCCAAACTGTCAGCCCTGCTCATGGGCTCCTTCAACCCCTCAACCCTATCCCAAAGCAAATAAGCAGTTGAAACTGTTATGATCGCAGGCAACGAACACAGAGTGATCAACTTGGCGGCTTGCTCCTTTATCCAGCTACTGTTGACACCGCTTACAACTAGAGTAACCTTGTCCGTCACTGTAACATGGACACACAGAATTGCAGACACACAGACACACAGGCACCCAGACACACAGACACACAGACGCACACACACACAGACACACAGGCACACACACACACACTGTCTACTTTCAGTGACTTGATGGGGTTAGTCATTGGTGGCTGCTCCTCTTTTTGGACTTTATATTATGAGCACACTTAGGTGGTGCAATGCTTGAGTTATTGGCCCAACTACCTGGAAGCAAAACTGAAAGGAAGTGGTCAATGTCATCTTTACAGTTCATACCAGGACTGGTCAGAGGACTTTATTTACCATTATTAGGCGAAAAGCATGTGCAAAAATCTTGGGGGTAGGGGCAGGATTGTCTCTAGTGACTGCTTTTTTCCTTTGATAGCTGCAAAAAGGTTTACAGATTTAACATATATGTTGCTGAATAAATACTTACCACCACCCTTTCAGTTTCCTTGACCAGAATCAAAAGGGCTTGGATTATTTGTATCCAGTCTTTAGTAATGCTAGGTAGGGTTTTTGAAGTGATTTTTTTCTGTTTGTTTGTTGTTGTTGTTGTTGTTTTGTTTTTTTTATTTCGGGGGGGTTCATTGCCATATTTCAAATTGTTTCAACCAACCAATGTTATATTTCAAGAGGGGAATGTGGGGTGAAGTTGGTTTGATACAATGCTTGTAAATTGCAGATTACTTGTTTGTATTTGTAGTGAAGCATTGAAGAAACTGTCAAACTTGCTATGAAAAGGGATGTGGCAGAAACCGATTTACTTGGCAGAGGAATGCCATCCTAGCAGCAACTTAATTGTGGACCAGAACATGAGCTACAACAGCTGCAAAAACAGAATCTTTCAAGTCATAGAATTATACTATTTGTGAAGAATGGTGTGATGATTTAATCAACACATTATTATGAGTGGCATTTATATAACTATAACATGAACAACAGACACACATGCATCACATTCAATGGCACAGTATAGACAACAAAGTTTATAGATCTAGATTATAGTGGCCACTAAGAAAAGGATTTGTTGAGTTTTTCTTCCTCTCAATGTTATGCTTTTCTCTAATTAACAGTAGGCCTACTTTATTGAAGGGTTCTCATACTCAGAGTCATAGACTCTAATATGGTTGTTCTTTTTATTGTTGTTCATTCTTTGATGTGATATACTACATGTACTAATAATTATAACCTAAGCATTCCAGAACCATGGATTTGACAGCTTACCCCAGTTAGCCTTTCAAGTGACATAAGAGTCTCCATTCTACATGATGTGTATCACTTTGTTTTATTTTGATTTCCAAATGAAATTCAATTTTGTTTTAAAACGTAGGCTGTAGTATAAGTATAGGCGCCTATATATTACTTAGGGCCTACCTTGTTAACAAACACAATGTGATGAGGTTTCGCTTCTATTATCCATTATATATACACATACTTTTAACAAATTTTAAAGCTTATTCTTGGCTAGATAAATGAACAAGATTTTTTAAAAAGAAAAATTTACTTGTGAAAATGATGTTTGAGATTGAGGAATTTCCACGTTGTAAAAGAGCATGAGTCTTTCGTTAGCATCGTAAGTCCTTTTGGGGTGGTTTGTTTCTTTCTAGAGTACGGGGATTGGGAACTTTGAATAACACAGGTATGGCTGCATTGCACCTTCAGTTGGTTTGCCTTAGCACCAAGAAACTGAGAGTCCGCAAAGTACCCAAGACTCAGAGCAGAGAACTGTATCAGAAAAGAGACATTCTGGTGACTTGCTCAGCAGATCCTTTCTTCACCCTCGTCTGGCACCTCGGACCGTATCTTTAGTTAAAAAAATATCCAATCTATTGTATATTCTGTTAGAGAACAGTTCATTGCAGAGCACCACTGGCTGTTCTGTCGTTTTTAAACTGTAATATCTAATGTACTTCTACCGTTTCGTAAACTCCTAGATTTAGATCTAGATCTAGATCTAGATATCTACATCATCATGTCACTGAACATGTTCAACTCACTACCGCTTTCCGTTCATTAAAATCTTATTTCCCAACTCACTATATTCAAAATGTGAACAAAAACCAGTCGAAATAAATACCAAACAGTTTACATGATAAAAAAAAACCCAAGGCAAAACTGCCATTATGAAATTCAAAGAGGAGCAGCCACCAATGACTAACCTCATCAAGTCACTGAAAGTAGAGTACCTGGTGCAGTTTGAAAATGTTGTCACCTACAGCAGTGGGTACTTTCTTGAAAATGGGGCAATTCTAAGACTTTGAGAAAAAGGAGAATCTAGAAACTAGATCTAATTGCCCCCACAAAAGTGAAGGCTTTCTAAAGCCATATTTCCTTCTGCTTGTGCGCCCGGTCAGAAGCTGTGGGACTGTTTGAAGAGTCCAAGTTTTTTTTATTAAAGGGGGAAGGGAAACTATTATTGGAAAGGATGGGGGTTAGAGGAAGAATAATTCTTTTTTTAGGGAACTTATAACCCCCGATAACCTTTTCAAAAAAAATTTCCGTTCCCCCCCCCCCCCCCCCCCACAACCCACCCGATGCAGTAAGTAGATTTAGGCATCTATTTAAGTAGATTTAGGCATCTATTTAAGTAGATTTAGGCATCTATTTCAGCGAGTTGAACAGTGCGCTCTTTTTAAACGCGCATCTAGCTGGTTACCAAGGGGAGCCAGTTGGAACGAAAATGAGGCTGTTGTCTCGTCTTGTCTTACTGAGTCTTGGATTACAGTAACCGGGTTCTAAATTTGAATAAATTTACGTCCCATGCGAGAACTGAGTTATACACCACACACTACACACTATTGACACAGATACCCTGCACACTGTGTTAAAGGTTAGAGACTGAGACATTCCTATTTGTTCACTTTGACGCCTAACAAATAAGGTATAACAATGTTTTAGCTGTTAATGTGAATCTTTGAATTGCCTTTTCTCAAAACTCTGCATTACTAAATTGGAATCGTATCATTCTAACGCGCGATGTTACGCTTAAAAACAGTTTACCTCCTTCAGCTTAGTTTTAGTTTTGGTAAGAGTTTTAGTAACAGTTTTAGTAACAGTTTTACATTTCGCTACCTCAGCGCTTTCTTGTACTATCTCCATTTTTTAACATTGAAAACGTAACTTCTTCGAGCTCACTCTTTGTTATGAACTGTTTTCACTGTTATTAAAAATGGAGATAGGACAAGAAAGCTCTGAAGTCGCGATTTGCAACACAAAGAGGTCCCATAAAAACCGAAGATTGGAGGTGATGCCAGAGAATAATATGCAACAAACAAAAAAAAAGAAAGAAGAGAGATAGATCTAGGGACGATAGATTTTGACGCGAAAGAAGAAGCAAGCCACCCAATCAGTGCACCCACTAACTGCCGACAATGTTCACTTTTGATATAAAACAATATAAATAATATACTAGTATGAAGAAAAGTTAACAACTTACGGGTTACGAACGAATTCTCTTGGGCGGCCTCCAAGAACACAGTGTCCTTAACGAACCTGCGAGCGAATTTTTCTCTCATATGCACATGGCATGAAACAACAGTACGAGTAAGATAATATCAATTCCATACTGGCTGAAATACTTACTTAAATACATGAATGTAGAACTGGGGTCTTTGGAAGACGGGGTGCGTCATGCTTCCTCGCCCCGTGGCTGAAATAATAACGATGAACACGATACGGAATGTTTCTATACACCTACCTTCCACTTGCAGTTCAACAGTATTGTATGGCTCTTCCTACGCCGAGCAGGGAGTTTCCACTAATACTTTGTACTTCCTTGTCTGACCAGTGTGTCGCACAGAACAAGCTAAGTACAGAAGTTGCAGAGATTGTTGTCTGTTTGTTTGTTCGTTTGTTTGTTTGTCTGTTTGTTTGATTGTTTGTTTGTATCTTTGTTTGTTTGTTTGTTTGTTTGAATAAATATGTGCACATCTGCACAATACCAGTTATTTTAGTGCTGTGAAAGAGCTAGACAAGTAGACGGGCAAAAAGGAGGGAAAGAAAAAGAAGTAGGACCTGCTAGTGGCACCCTCCATATACCTGTTCTGTCTCTGTTTACGACTATGCCTCTTCTGTCTGTCTGTCTCTTGGTCTGTCTGTCTGTCTGTCTGTCTGTCTGTCTGTCTGTCTGTCTGTCTGTCTGTC